TGTTAGTATTAAATCATTATTATAAATCATTATTATAAATAATTACTAAATAATTATTATAAAATCATTATTATAATGATTATTATCAAATCATTACTAAATCATCAAATCATTAAATATTTAAATCATTATTAAATCATTTTTATAATGATTATTACTAAATTATTATTATAATGATTATTATCAAATCATTACTATAATGATTATTATCAAATCATTACTAAATCATCAAATCATTAAATATTTAAATCATTATTAAATCATTTTTATAATGATTATTACTAAATCATTATTATAATGATTATTATCAAATCATTACTATAATGATTATTATCAAATAATTACTAAATCATCAAATCATTAAATATTTAAATCATTATTAAATCATTTTTATAATGATTAATAAATACATAGAAATACATATATGATTACTAATGATGAGGCCTATATCTTGGTAAATTAGGACAATTGTTTTTTGAATGGCCTTCACCCCTACATAATCCGCATCTCTTTGCTTGACCTCTCTCTATAGCATGAAAATCCATACTGGTATGAATTCGAGTGGACTCAGGTCGACCCTTTGGACTTCTGCGAAGCATTGGATTTGGTAGCCATTCATCATGATCCTTTTTGGGCCAATATGATTCATTTGGGATCTGTCTGAACACATAGCTGTAGACATTTAATATCCTACGTAGGTGGAAGCATTCATCAACATAAGTGTATGCGCTTACACCAGCATACATACATGCAGCGACTGCATGAGCACATGGATATTTCCATGCCTGAAAACGACCACAATCACACCATTTGTGTCGTAAATCAACTCTAAATGTTTGGTCTTCTCCTCCGACGTTACGACGTATGCACGACACGACAAAAGTATGACCAACTCGGTCGAAATTATGAACAACCATTGATGTTGCCAATCGCTCATTTGCTTCCATTGATTCCACCACTGTAGGAGCCCAAGTTTTACCTCTATTTATGAGACTCTCAATTTCCTTGCCTTTGTCCGACCAAACTTTACCCAGTCTAAAGTACGTCTCTTTCACCACACTCGCTATTGGGAGATGGCGTGTACCTTTTAGTACCGAATTAATGGCCTCAACAAGGTTTGTGGTCATATGTTCGTATCTCCGACCTTCATCGTATGCTTGCGACCATTTTTCCCGCGGTATTTTTGAAGCCCACTTCCAAACACGCTGATCATCGTAAAATACCTTCAAATTCTCCAATCTCTTGTCAAAATTTGGTCGACGTAGTTCGTATCCTGTTCCATAATATATTGTGTTAAACCGCACTTAAAAAAACCACGTAAAAAATATACAAATATTGAAAATAAAACTTACCCATGCTGACTATCTCGCTACGAATATGTGCGTTATGAAACTGGTCGATACTATTCTTGCCAATATGACGGATACAAAATGTCGGATATGCATACGGAGGTATCCAACGACTTCCTGGTCGTTCAATTGCCGCCAAATACCCGTTCCTCTATCGGATATCAAGCAAACTCCATCTTCACGAACGACATTGACGTAGATTGGTCAGAAAGAAATCCCAAGCCTCTGTTGTCTCTCCCTCAACAATGGCGAATGCAATTGGGAAGATATTTCGCTCACCATCTTGAGCAACTGCCATCAAAAGTACATGCCTATATTGACCATACAACCACGTACCATCTACTTGGATCATACGTTTGCAAAATGGAAATCCTTCAATACATGCCTTGAATGCCCAAAATAGTCTATGAAATATTTTCTTCCCTGGCAGAAGTTGACCTTCTTCGTCATATGCGGGCATGGTTTGAGACTTCACTATAGTTCCTGGGATAAATCGCTTCATTGCTTGTAGCAAATGTGGTAGCTCATTGTACGATGTATCCCAATCTCCATACGTCAACTTCATTGCCTTCATTTTCGCATTCCACACCTTGCCATATTTTACTTGATATCCAAATTGGCTTCGAATAGATGCAGCTAACACTGAACAAGATATCCTTGGATCCTTTTCAACCATCGCCTTCACGTATTCACATATTACATCGGAGTCCAATAGTCGGTGGTCTTGTTCGATGGAGTTTCGCAAACATGTGTGCGAACCATTGTACCTCGTGATGACCCAAACATCGTGCCTTTGATTTTTCGACACTCTGATCTTCCACTTGCACTCTGGGCCATATTTTACACACTTTGCGTATAGGGTTTTCTGGTTGGACTCTGCAACATGGACATCAACATGGCATTTGATGCAGTACTCTTTAATCGCCAGCGTAGCTTCATTTTTTCCTCTGAATTGCACCCCAACTGAAAATTCACCAGAATTATCGAATGATTCAGTCATTTGGTACGGAGGTAAATGTGGCATGTCTGGGAATTCAGGTGCCCTCATTGCATCATAATCTATCTCGTACATGTGAGGAGTAGCTTCATACGGTGTCGGAACTTCATCAATTGCACCTCCACCAAAAATATTTTCGTCGCCGCCCAAAACGGGTTCTTCAGTTTCTTCATCTTCGCTTGAATCATCATGAATTTCTCCCCATCGATTTTCAGCGTCATTATCAACAACCAATTCCGGTATGTTTCTCGTCTCATACTCTGCTGCTGTAGATGTCCCCCCGACTTCATTTACACTTTCCAATAGTGCCATAAAACTGTTCGGGAACCTGTATGTCGGCTCCTCAAACTGACTATATAAAGCCATTTCAGATGGATTTTGAGCCACACCTCTTGATGACTCAGGAACATCACATATGTTACGCACATCAACAAATAATTCAATAACTGCTATATTGGTTGACTCATGTAATCCAACCATGGTTCCAATATCATCATCTTCTTCAAGTGGAACTGCAGCATATCTGACTGGGTTAGAGCATATCATAAACCTATACCTCAAACCATCAACTGCAGCTCGAATTTTTCTTTCTATCTTATGCTTCATTTCTATAAATGTGATGTCTTTTTTGAACATCATATTTATTGGTTTTTCAGACTGAAAAACTACTCCGACCTCATTTTCCATAATCTGTCCATTATAATGGACAATCGTGAAAAAGTTGCTGCTCATTTTCTCTACAAATAAAAAAAAATTAATTTAGATTAAAAAATTAGATAAGATAATTTCATAAATTATTAAATATAAATAATATACTATTATATTAATGATCAAATAAATTTATCATTTAACTTGATTGATTGCTTACTAATAAACCTAATAATGATTTGATAATTACTATTAATCTAATGATTTGATATTTAATGATTTAATAATAATATGATTTAGTCATAATCACTAATAATTATTTATTATAAATATTTAATGATTTTGATTTGATACTAATCATTTAGTAATTATTACTAATAATAATAATTAGTTTGATAATATTTTTTATTTTTTAAAAATATCAAACAAATTTGTTAGGCAAAACTATCGATATAATGTTCTCGAAATAATTATTTCGCGAGATAATGCGTTGTCCGGATTATTTCATTCAATTAATTTTTACTTCTTACTAATATACACATACAATGTAAATTAAACAAACTATTTTTAAAACAACACTAAATATTTTTAAACACAATATTTTTTAAAACAGAAATTATCTCGCACAAATTAGTTTATATAATCTAATATAAACTTACTAACTAACTAATTTACACATACACAACAACAAAAAATGGACAACAAAAAATAATAAATTACTCACGTCTTTATGCCTTCTTCCTTTACTTTTTTTTTTCCTGCCTTGTTTCTTTCTTCGAATCAATCTGTACGTGGGCAAATATTGTGAAATAATGTCATGTATGTGTAAACAAAATATTTATTTAAACAACAATAGCTCCCACAAATTAATTTTATATAATCTAATATATTATAATATACCTTAAACTAATAAACTATTTCTTTATTATAATATAACTTAGTTAAAATAACAAACTAATTAAGCACTAATTAATTTTTTTATAATATAACTTCAACTTCAACGAACAACCTAATATACGTTTAAAGACACTAACAAATTAATTAATATTTTTTTATATTTAATAACTTAAACTAAGAAACTAATTAACTAATTTTTTATATAATATAATATATAACTTAAACTAATAAACTATAATATAACTTAAACTAACAAACTAATAATTTATACTAACAAACTAATTAACTAGATTTTAATTTACCCTAAACCCGAAACTAACAAACTAATAATTTCATATAATAAACTAAATTAAACAATAAAAAAATTACCTCACGAACTATGTTTGAGCCTTTATCTTCTTTTCTTCTTCTTCCTTTTCTTTCTCTCGGCAAAGTTTATATGTGCCGGTTCTGCTTGTGCTTCTACCCTAAACCCCATATCCTTTATATAAAGCAACTGAGCGTTGGACAGAGTCATTAAATTTGATTGTTGAAGCAAATAATATTAGCATTGTCGTCTAACTATTGAGCATTGAAAGGCTGACAGCTAAATTAACGCTGCAATAACGCAACTATAGATGCAACACATACAGCTACGGGTGCAGGAATCTCAGCTATGATGCAACGCATGCATGCAGCTACAGCAGCTACGGACCAGACCTTGGTCGCCGAGACTCCATGGCGACCTACCGACCACGCCGCCGTGACCTACACCGTTCGACGTGCATGGCCATGCACAGTTCCCACGTCCCATGCACAGCATGCATCTGCATGGCCATGCACAGCATGCATCCCCTCCCCCATGCATTCCCACGGCCCATGATTTTTGCAAAATACGCACAGGGCACCATGCAATCCACCTTGGAGGTCGCCCGGATTGCATGGCGACCTCCAAGGTCGCCTGGATTGCATGGCGACCTCTAAGGTCGCCTGGATTGCATGGCGTCCTATGGCGATCACTATAGAATTCACCCCATTCCAGCAATTAATCTGGGATGTGCACCATATCGTGAAAAAAAAAATTCGAGAACATTATCTCGTGAATTCACCCCTTTATCTACTTCTTTCACACACCGCCCAACAACAAAAATGTCAGGAAATTTCCACCGGGTCCTCCCCCTCTTTCGGTAATCGGTAACCTCCATATCCTAGGAAAACTTCCACACCATAGTCTTCACGTTCTCGCCAAAAAATATGGAACCATAATGTCAATAAAACTAGGCTATATGCCAACAATTGTGGTATCATCACCCGAAGCAGCTGAACTATTCCTCAAGGTCCATGACGTCATTTTTGCCGGTATGCCGAAAGTCCAATCCGTGGATTACTTGACACGCGGTGCCAAGGGCTTGGCTTTTACCCAGTACGGTTTCTACTGGCGAACGGTAAGAAAGTGGTGTATATTGCATCTACTTAGTGCTTCGAAAGTCGAATGCTTCGCTCATGTCAGGAAGGCGGAGATGGTGTCGTTAGTCGAATCGGTGAGGAAGACCGCGGCGGAGGGTAAAACATTGAACCTCAGCCAGCAGGTGGGTAAGGTTGTTGAAGTGATCATGTCTAGAGTTATTTTTGGACGGTGTATGGATGACAATATCGAATTTAAGCCATTAATTGAAGAGACCGTGCACTTGGCTGGGGTTTTCAACCTGTCGGATTACGTGCCCTTTCTTGCTCCATTTGATCTTCAGGAAATAAAAAGAAGGTCTAAGAGGACAAGTAATGGTCTTCACGCAATTTTCGACAAACTAATCGATGAACATGAACAAGGATCGACAAATACCGAGGAGCGAAATTCTTATACAGATTTCTTTCATGTGATGGTTTCGTTGTTGAACAAGCCGATGAACCCTACCGACAAGGAGCAATACATCATCGGTAGAGAAAACATCAAGGCTATACTGGTGGAAATGGTGGCAGCTTCGTTCGACACCACAACTACAGCCATCGAGTGGACACTTTCGGAACTTCTAAGGCATCCTCGAGTGATGGCTGATCTCCAGCAAGAGTTGGAAACCGTTGTCGGAAGAAATCGAATGGTCGAAGAGTCGGATATACCTAAACTTACTTACTTGCATATGGTCGTCAAAGAGAGTTTCAGGTTGCATCCGTGACGCCAGACAGAATAGTGATTATCCTGTAGGCTAGCTCCGACAGACGATTCACAAGAGAAAATTCGCCCAAAAACCAGAGAAAAAAGTCTCTAGGGTTTAATAAAATATTATAAAATCAATAACTGTCTCAAAAGCAGTCCACAAGCCGGACTGTTATAGCTAAAAAAATCGTCTTTATTCGAATTTTGCCAAAAATAGCAAAAATCGTATTTATTCGAATTTTGCCAAAAATAGCAAAATCCCGAAAATCACTCTAAATTGAAATTCGAAATAAAATAAGCAATCTCCCAAAAATCCGGTCTAAATCGGATTTAAATTGACTTCCTAATTAACAATCGAAATATTACCATAAATAGTAAAAAATAACTAAATCTAGTGATTCGGAGGGGAAAACGGCAGAATTTGAGGTTGAAAAAAAAGGCCACATGGAGCGTAGCTCAATGTGGAGAGCGTGCGCGTCGAAAAGAGCTTTCCGGATTGGGGTCTTATGCGCGATTCTGACACCTGTAGCCAAAGTTATGGCCAAAAGACTGAAACATACTCAAAACGACCCCAATAAGGAACATGTCACAATCAATTCCCGCCTTGCGCTGATCTGCCAACTCATGGTATCTCAGCGCCATCAACGTGCAATCTGACAGCTCAGCATCATCTGTCTCGGATCCCCTGCATCAGTCGCCCCGGGTTGGAAAGAACTCGTCCTCGAGTTCAGAGTAGTGTCATCAGGATCCACAAAACAATGACTCAGGTGCTTCACATTAAAGACATCAGAAGTCTTCAAGTGACTGGGAAGTCGCAACCTGTAAGCATTATCATTGATCTTCTGCACGACCTCACAAGGTCCAATCTTCCGATCCTTAAGCTTATTATACTCACCAACAGGAAAACGATCACGAGTTAATACAGCCCAAACAAAATCACCAACATCAAAAAGTACCTGACGACGATGATTGTCGACCCGAGTCTTGTACTTGGTATTGCTCTCATGAATGGTCTGTTTCACCTGCTCATGGATACCCCGAAGATACTTTGCCATCTCATCTGCTTTAGGACTGAAACGTCCTATACGTGGAATAGGGGCTAAGTCCAACACCCCGGATGGGTTCTGACCATAGACAATCTCAAATGGGCTTAAACCTGTGGTTCTGTTTTTTGATCTGTTGTAGGCAAATTCTGCCTGAGGCAATGCCAAATCCCACTGCTTCGGCTTCGTTCCTGCCAAACACCTTAAAAGGTTTCCCAAACTTCGGTTCACCACCTCAGTCTGTCCATCCGTCTGGGGGTGGTAGGCGCTACTGAAATTCAACTGCGTTCCCAGTTTCCCCCACAGGCTCTTCCAGAAATGACTGATGAACTTAGTATCACGATCTGAAGTGATGGATCGAGGAACACCATGTAAACGCACAATCTCCTTGAAATAGAGATGGGCAATCCGGTCAGCATCCATAGTCTTTCTGCAAGCTACAAAATGAGCCATCTTGGAAAACCTGTCAACCACAACAAAGATAGAATCAGAGGCCCTTTGGGTGCGGGGTAAGCCTAGTACAAAATCCATGCTGACATCGAACCAAGGAGCTTCAGGAACAGGTAAGGGAGTGTACAATCCCGCATTGGTGAGAACTCCCTTAGATCGCTGGCACACATAACAACGGTCCACATAATGGGCCACATCACTAGTCAACTTGGGCCAATAAAATTCAGAAGAGATAAGGGCCAATGTCTTATCTCGGCCAAAGTGTCCCTCATTATGGAGTTCACTTATAATTTGCTGCCTCAATGAACAATCTGGAATGCACAATTGTAATCCACGAAACAGATACCCATTATGCAAAACAAAATCATGACGGTGACCCTCAGTTACCTCCTGAAATATCCTTCCAAAGGAAGGATCAGCTGCATACATATCTGTGAACGTCTCAAATCCTGCAACTTTAGTACTCATGGTGGTGAGAAGTAAGGTACGACGGCTCAGGGCATCTGCGACGCGGTTCAAACTCCCTGCTTGGTGCCTCAGCGTAAAAGTGAATTCTTGCAAGTATGCTACCCACTTGGCATGACGTCTACTCAGCTTGTGTTGGCCATTGATGTACTTCAAGGCCTCATGATCGGTAAACAGAATAAACTCCTTCTGTACTAGGTAGTGACGCCAATGCTTCAGGGACTGAACTATGGCATAGAACTCCAGATCATAAGTGGAATAATTTTTCTTTGATCCCGATAGCTTCTCACTGAAAAAAGCAACTGGACGACCTTCCTGACTCAGAACACCACCAATGCCAACGCCAGATGCATCACAATTTACCTCGAACACTTTGTCAAAATCTGGAAGTGCCAAAACTGGAGCCTCGGTCATCTTCTGCTTGACCAGTTGAAAACTGGCCTCTGCCTCCTCAGACCACTGGAAATCACGCCCCTTGAGGCACTCTGTGATAGGGGCGATCAGAGTACTGAAATTTCTAATGAATCGACGGTAAAAAGACGCCAAGCCATGGAAACTTCGGATGTCATGTAAGGTTCTTGGTCTGGGCCACTCCAAGACTGCATCTATTTTTGACTGATCTGCATGAACACCATCAGTAGACACAACAAAACCAAGAAAAGTCACAGAAGTAGTGAAGAAAGAACACTTCTTTTGATTGATAAACAAGCACTCCGTTTTCAGCATCTCAAAAACAGCACGGAGGTGATCGAAGTGTGAAGTCCATGTCGGACTATAAACGAGGATATCATCGAAGTAAACTACAACAAATTTCCCCATAAAAGGCCGCAAGACCTGATGCATAAATCTCATGAATGTACTGGGCGCATTGGATAACCCAAAAGGCATGACCATCCACTCATACAACCCTTGTGGCGTTTTAAACGCCGTCTTCCACTCATCTCCAGGCCTTATTCTGATTTGGTGGTAACCGCTCTTAAGGTCAATTTTTGAGAAGATCTTAGAACCAGATAGCTGATCCAACATATCATCTAGACGGGGAATTGGAAACCGGTACTTCACTGTAATTCTGTTGATCGCTCGGCTGTCAACACACATACGCCAAGAACCATCTTTCTTTGGCACTAACAGAGCAGGGACTGCCATGGGCTCATACTCTCTCGGATATAGCCCCTCTCCAACAACTCTTCCACCTGTCGCTGCAACTCTTCGGCCTCCTTGGGACTGAGGCGATATGCTGGTCGATTTGGCAAACTTGACCCAGGAACAAGGTCAATTTGATGCTGAATATCCCTCATAGGTGGTAGTCCAGGAGGAAGATCCTCTGGCATCAAGTTAGAGAATTCTGCTAGCAACCGCTGCACCTCTACTGGTAAATCTGTATCCACGTCTACTGCATTGTTCTCGCAAGGTAGCAAGGCATAGACCACGTCGCCATGCTCAATCTCATCTAAAACCTGGACATAGAAAGCAGATTAGTATTATGGGTTACTGGGGTAGGAGTAAGTCCTTCCCGCCGGGGTGCCAACACAATCTTTTTTCCCTTGATGCTAAGGGAATATGTATTCTTCCGTCCATCATGAATGACACTACGATCATACTGCCAAGGTCGACCCAACAATATATGACACGCATCCATAGACACAACATCACACCAGGCATTATCAAAATATTTTCTACCAATTGAAAAAGACACCAGGCATCGCCTATCAACTGTTACCTCACTGTCTTTATTTAGCCATGACAACTTGTATGGCTTAGGATGACGGTCCGTCTTCAACTGCAATTTCTGGACAACCTCCTCGGACACTACATTCTCACAACTGCCGCTGTCAATGATCATTTTGCAGACTTTATCTGCAACTGTGCAAGTCGTGTGGAAAATATTGGTTCTCAACCAATCGTCCCCTGAATCGCCCTTGGGGGTAAGTAGACTCTTGCGAACGACCAGAGTCTCATGACCATCTCCATACAGCACATCATCAGTCTCATCATCGTCATACACGGGTTCGCCAATCTCCTCAGTCTCGTCTTCCACGTTTTCCTCAATCAACAAATTTTTGCCCTTTTGACTAGCAGGCTTCCTGCAATCAGTCGCCCTATGCCCTTGTTCACCACAACGAAAACATCTAATAGTAGGGTTAGAATTACCCTGCGGTGGCTGCTGAGCAGGACGGGACTCTTGAGGGCGAACTGGTCGACTGTTGTGATCGCTCCTGATCACTGGTCTCCTGTTTTGCTGTTTTTCAACAGCAAGTGCACGCTGGTATGCTTCCGAAACACTCCACAATGAATGAAGGCTGAGGACATCTTGCAAGGGCTGGCGTAAACCCCCCAAATATCGCGCCACCATCTGCTCCTCCGTCTCAGATAAATCGTTCCGGGCGACCAATTGGTAAAACTCCTCCGTGTAATCATCGACTGATCGCGCGCCCTGCCTCAACGCATGAAGTCGCTGAAATAAGGTTTGCGTGTAGCCGAAGGGAAGGAAGTGACCCTTCATCTTCTTTTTCATCTTCTCCCAATCAGTGATCTTGGCTTTGCCCTGTCTTTCTCGTGAACGTCGTAACTGTTCCCACCACGCAGATGCTCTGCCCTTGAGTTGATGGCGATCAGTTTCACTTTCACACGATCGGGGACTTCCTTATATTCAAAAATACGCTCCACTTCATTAATCCAATCCACGAATCCCTCGACCTGTAATGTACCAGAAAACTCAGGGAGATCGACCCGAAAACCGAGGTCTCCATGACGCTCCTCCCGACCACGGTGCTCCCGGAATCCTGCGCCCCGGAATCCTGCGCGATTGTGATATGGGTTTTCGAAAGTGGAATTTGTATCGTGATCAGAGGCCTCACGATCCTCTAAATCCTGCGCCGCTAGGCGCTGGGTTAATTCTGCGACTTGCCTCTGCAAATCCGCAATCATCACATCCTGAACGCTGCGATCACGGCGTTGGGCTTCCTCATTCGGAACCTGCTCACGACGACCACGACCACGACCTCCAGCCATTGAAACTGGTGAAATTTCCCAAGAAGATGTTGAAGCTCTGACACCAACTGACGCCAGACAGAATAGTGATTATCCTGTAGGCTAGCTCCGACAGACGATTCACAAGAGAAAATTCGCCCAAAAACCAGAGAAAAAAGTCTCTAGGGTTTAATAAAATATTATAAAATCAATAACTGTCTCAAAAGCAGTCCACAAGCCGGACTGTTATAGCTAAAAAAAATCGTCTTTATTCGAATTTTGCCAAAAATAGCAAAAATCGTATTTATTCGAATTTTGCCAAAATAGCAAAATCCGAAATCACTCTAAATTGAAATTCGAAATAAAATAAGCAATCTCCCAAAAATCCGGTCTAAATCGGATTTAAATTGACTTCCTAATTAACAATCGAAATATTACCATAAATAGTAAAAAATAACTAAATCTAGTGATTCGGAGGGGAAAACGGCAGAATTTGAGGTTGAAAAAAAAGGCCACATGGAGCGTAGCTCAATGTGGAGAGCGTGCGCGTCGAAAAGAGCTTTCCGGATTGGGGTCTTATGCGCGATTCTGACACCTGTAGCCAAAGTTATGGCCAAAAGACTGAAACATACTCAAAACGACCCCAATAAGGAACATGTCACAATCAATTCCCGCCTTTGCGCTGATCTGCCAACTCATGGTATCTCAGCGCCATCAACGTGCAATCTGACAGCTCAGCATCATCTGTCTCGGATCCCCCTGCATCAATCCGGTGGCACCCTTTTTAGTTCCACACGAGTCGACGGAAGATAGCACAGTTAATGGATATTTCATACCGAAAAAGTCGCGAATCCTGGTGAATACTAGGTCCATGGGGCGAGACCCCAAAGTGTGGTCGGACAATGCAGGAGAGTTCTTTCCAGAAAGATTCGAGGATAGCAGCATAGACCTTAGAGGACATGATTTCCAACTCATCCCTTTTGGAACTGGTCGAAGAGGATGCCCTGGAATGCAATTAGGGCTAACCACCATGCGTTTAATTATAGCTCAATTAGTCCATTGCTTTGATTGGGAGTTGCCCGATGCTATGTTGCCTAATCAACTCGACATGACCGAGAAGTTTGGTCTCTCATTGCCCAGGGCTAAGCATTTGTTTGCAAAGCCAACCTATCGTTTAGTTGGTTAAAATGGTGCAATGTCTGTTTTTGCAGTACATTGCAAAAAAAAAGGCAACCATTACAATCCGGTTGTCTTAGGGTAAGTCCCCAAGTATAAGGTTCTAATTAGGGTTGACATGGCCAATATACAAAGTCACCATGTTAGCAATAGTTGTTTATAATAAAAGTTATTGTTACTCTTTCCCCCCTCAACTGTCTCAATTGAATTTCAATTTGATTGAGTTATAAGGGAATTATTAACGAGATTCTATTTACGTTTCAAAAGAAAAAAAAACAATAGTTATTTATGGTACCGACTTCGTTGGTTTCAGAATAAATTGTATTCTATACACGTACTTTATGTTTTTTTAGATATGTTGAATTTAAAAACGATGTGTAGAATTTTAGAAAATATGTGTACGTTCGACCCCCTTGAGATATATATATTTGTTTCCCTTCTGATTCCACATAGTTTTGCATTGATTAATCTAGACTGACTTTTGTCGCACACCTAGTTTTTATTGAATCTCCAAATGAAGATTTTCAATATACACAAAACATCGAACTCAAGAACTACTTAATTATTATTAAAACTTTTATTCTACTTTTTGAATGATATTAAATGTTTAGTAGTAAGTGAATTATATATTTTATTTTCAGAGATAATTATCAAAAATAATTTAATAGGTAATTTTATGTATCAAATTGCACATGTTTATGTGATTTTGTGGGGATTAATATAGATCTATGACATTTTTTATAAATCATTTTCAGAAAGAAAATAAAAAAATTATAATAATAAATATTGACACTCAGCTTACAGGAAAACTCTTAAAAGGTTGAATAAAATAATAAGAATTTATCTTTATTTACAAAACAAAATAAAACCTAAAAATATTTAAAATATTACGTGAGACTTAAAAAAAATCAATTCTTATTAATTCAAAATTTTAGAATGAATATATTTACTTCAATGTAATTTTTATTATTTTATTTTTATCTGAAGATATTATAGAGAGAGGAAAATATAGTTATGACTTATGATTTAAAAGGAATAAAATTCTTCAATAATATTTAAATACAGATAATGATAATAGAAGATCATATTCATCTATAGCCCACCATCCACGACAAGTCGCTCCAACCCCACTCCATTATCTACAAAATATATTCATCTGCCTCCAATTAGATGTGAAGTCCACCCGTTAAAATTCCTATAATTAATGTATAATTGTTAATGGATTTCATTTTTAAACGTATTTATATTTTATTTTAAAGCATCTGATGGATTAATTTGTAATCACCGACATCACGATATAACTGTTGGTACAGTGAAATTATGGTTGAAACCCCACTTGGTGAATGCATGTAAATTCCCAAGTGGGAAACATGCTCAACTCTCAAGCAAAACAAGCATGAACATCATACTTTTAGAATGGCTAACTGACATCTTTAGTTTTACCATATCATTGAACTAGTTCTGAAATTAATGCAGTAACAATACAAAGTAAAGAAAATTAGCCTTGGAATTCATAACAAATCAACGTGAGGAATGAATAAGTTCATGTGATTGCTTCGAGACGTGACGGAACCATACAATACTAGACACTTATGATGGTTGGTATAGTTTAACGAACTTACACACTCCAAGGCAAAGTTTTAACTTTTAAAGGCTCTCCTCAAGTAACTAAAGCCACATAACAAGCGTTCTCGTCATTTGTGCATCTAAATTGCAAGTTATATTATATATATGCTAAGCAAAAGAAGCACAAGCATTCCTTGGTCAAAATCTAAGTTCACAATCCAAAGAAGCCAAGCTCACTGGCCTTCTCCTTCTCAAAAGTCTCAAAATATTGATAAATGATTGTGACTGCAAGAAGTATACCGGTTCCTGACCCAATTGCTCCCATAAGATCTGCAAGAACTGTGAGTGCACCGATGCACATGCCTCCGAATGCAGCAGCTGTGGGAATGTAACGGTTCAGCTCTTTCTGTAAGCTTGCCTCGCGATGGCCAGGCATAACCATTTGTTGTTCCTGAAAAATAGCAGAAAAATGATTCCTCAAACGCTAAATGAAGAGTAATGGTACCTCAGCTGATGAACTGCATGCATAGCATGCTCATTTTCCTGGTGTACTCAATCATCCCAGGAAAGGACTGCAAAGTTAATTTTGGTATGAGGGCTTAAACCTTAGAAGCTTAAGGAAAACTTGCCACATTATTTCACTAAAAAAAGCGCACATATCAAAATACATATTCCGTGCCAGGTATAATTTTAATTATTGTGTTTCGACTAATTAAAAAAGTATGTAAATTTTGCTTTCTGCAAAAAGGTTACTCCGAGTTTTTAGCTCATAGTTAGAACTAAAACCAATAATTATAAAGTGAAAACACAAAAGCAAATCTACAGAAACAAAGTAAATCTAAAGATGAATTTGAAAGAGTAGATCACAAACCCTGAGCTGCTTGGCAACATCTCTAGCAGATGACCCTGAGACTTCAATCCAAGTTTTTGAGAACAATGCACACGCTGACAACATAAACACGAGATAGAACAACGCATGAAAAGGATTGGCTGCTATATCAGCTAAGCTGCAAGATAATATAGCAAGAAGAGTCGGCATAAGTTGACAAGGAAGATTCCCAAATTACAAAGTTATTAACCTAAAAGAAGTGTCAGCACTAGAGACCATGCTGGAAAATTTTTTTTCTCCTGAAAATAGTGAAGGTTCAAATCACCTTGATGGTGCGGTGATATAATATGCAAGGCCACCAACAGGAATGGATTGACCATTTGAATATTCAGATTCCTTCCACTTGCCCAAGAGATTCACAAAAAAGTTTCCACTGTACCTTCTGTACAGTAACTGCAGAGGGATACATGGTTAGATGTATTATATTAAAAAGTAACAGACCTAGATGGTCATATGTATACAAGTAAACTCCAGTACCTGAGAGATGAAGTAAAGATTTGTAACAAGAGCAGAATGTAGAATGATGGGCATGTTAGAGGTGTAGAAGAGCTTGATAGGATATGAACCCTGCTGTCCACGGGCGTTCTTTGATCTCACAGGCAAAACCACTCTGAACCCTTGGAAGTAGATAACAATTAGAAAAATCAAGACTGTAGCAAGCAGATTTGTCACATTTGGAAGATTCTGTCGATAAAAGGCTTCTCTGAGAGCATGAATCTTGTTATCTCGAGTCAAAAGATTATGGACAAATGCAATAACAGCTCCTTCAAACTCTGCACCTCTTCCTGCGTTAATCGTTGTGGGGCTAAATGCCTTCCAGATTATGTTTTCACTGCATATCAATCAAATCTCTTTTGAGTGTTAGCAGTTGTAATTCTACCAATGATTACATCATGGAACAGCACTCAGCTACATAATATAATAGTAAGACCACAAGAATCCTTGGTGAACCTTTTTTTAGTAGATTAAGAAAGCAAAGATAAGAATTAAAATCTACAAATGCTCACCAGATGTTTGTTGCAATGAAAAGGGAAATTCCAGAACCCAGACCATATCCTTTCTGAAGAAGTTCATCCAGACACATGACAATGATAGCAGCAAAGCAAAGCTGAAGGATGATGAGAATGGCATTTCCAACTCCAAGTTGGCCAACAGTACCATACATCCCAGAGAGAACATAGGCAACCGCCTCGCCAATGGCTATCAAGATTCCCAACAACTTTTGTGCCCCATTTCTGGAAAGAAAAAGTACTCAACTACTCATCATACATAATTATACATCTTGGACACTAAAGAAGCAATTTGCAGCTTAAGGGGAAAAAAAAACCTGACTGCTTAGCAAAACCTCTAAGAGGTAAAGCATGAACACAGGTGCATGCATGAGTAATGCACATGATGCACACCAAAAGAAGCTCTCCTGCATGGAGAATATATTATATTCTCCACGAGACTTATCATAACATCATTTTAAATCAACCCTGAAGGACAAGAATCAAGCTGCTATCATCAGCAAAGTTTCTGATTCCATTGTCTGACAACCAATAACATAAGAGTAAAATTCTAATTACAGTCATGAGAAGCCATCAATATTGAGCAACAGAGAGTCAAAAAAAAAAGTAACCAATCATCATTCGGTGACAATAGTTACCTCAATAATAATAATAATAATAATTAAAAAAACATAAATAAAGTTCACACCCTTAAAGAATACTTACAAAAGGGCTCGATCTTCACGGACATTGTTGTCCACTTCAATGATTTTCGAACCAGCCAGAAGTTGCATCACCAGTCCAGACGTCACAATGGGAGTGATTCCAAGTTCCATGACAGTCCCACGACTTGAAGCGAGAATAACACGCATCCAATAGAATGGATCTGCACCAGTTGTAGAATGTATGCCATACAGTGGGAGCTGGCTACAAACCAAGAAAATGAAAAGAGAGATCACAGTGTATATGACTTTCTCTCTGAAGGGAACTTTCCTGTCAGCACTCTGAACTTCAGGCAGGAATGAAAGAAAGGGTCGTACAAGATGAAGCACTCTAAATCCACTCCCCATCTTGTTTTATCCAACTGTAAAAAAATAAAACATATTAGTTAAAACAGAACAATATTGTCAAACATCTCAAAGTAGAACGATATCTAACAAGAAACAATGGAGAGGTAAAATACACCAGAAAATTTTAATCTATTCGGGAACAGAAGAGAGAAAGATTCAAATACTGCTGACAAAACTTTAATATATATAGAACTCCTCTTTGATTACTCATTCTCATATCCATAAAAAAAATTGCCCCTTTCAATTTTATTTGAAAGACAGCAGTTTCACAGTTGAAAGGAACATCAAAACATAAATTCCATAAACATGCATATATGAGCAAGAAGCTCCAAAATCCGCAACTAAATTAAAGGAGCTGTTCCTCTCCAATAGTTTTCCAACCAACAAACTTCAATGAGCTCATCAAAAATTTCACCTAAACAAGCGGTATCAAACGATCTAAAGGTTCCACTTTTAGCTGGCCCTAAATTCCTAACAGATGCACCGGAAAAAAAAA